TGGTTAACATTGTATTTTTCAAGGACTCCTTTTAATAAATTATTCACAAAGTGAGTACCCTCATCACTAATTAGTGCCCGAGGGGTACCGAAACGCGTGAAAATCTGTTTTTGGAGAAACTTAACCACAGTTTTTGCGTCATTTGACACACATGCCATGGCTTCCACCCATTTGGAAACGTAGTCAACCGCCACAAGAATATATTGGCAATTATTCGATGGAGGGAAGGGACCCATGAAGTCAATTCCCCAAACATCAAACAATTCAACTTCGAGTATCCCGTTTAATGGCATYTCATTCCTTTTGGAAATGGAGCCACTTCGTTGACACTCGTTGCACCTYTGTGCAAAGTTGTGGGAATCTTTGAAAATAGTTGGCCAATAAAAACCGGACTGTAAAACCTTGGCTGCAGTTCTCTGACCCCTAAAATGACCTCCGTACGGTGCATGATGGCAATGCTGTAGGATGGCTGCTACTTCAGATTCGGGCACGCATCTCCTCAAAATCTGATCTGCACCGAGCTTAAACAAAAATGGTTCATCCCATAAGAAAGATTTGACATCATGAAAGAATTTTTTTAGCATGTGGCCCGTGTAGTCCGAGGGTTTTATTCCACAAGCCAAAAAATTAGCTATATCTGCAAACCAAGGTGTTTTTTGTTGGTCAATCAAGAGGATTCTTTCATCGGGAAAAGTGTCATTAATGTCCATTCCTCCTCTCTCTGGTTCTTCCAACCTAGACAAATGGTCTGCAACCTAATTCTCTACCCCCTTTCTATCCADAATCTCTAAGTCAAACTCTTGTAACAAAAGCACCCATCTTATCAGTCTAGGTTTTGCATCTTTCTTTGAGATTAGGTACTTGATGGCTGAGTGATCAGTATGCACAATGACTTTTGTTCCCATCAAGTAGGACCTAAATCTCTCAAATGCAAAAACGATAGCTAATAACTCTTTCTCTGTCGTGGTGTAATTAATTTGTGCTTCATTCAAAATCTTACTTGCGTAATAGATTGAATGAAACACCCTGTCCTTTCTTTGTCCTAGTACTGCACCCACCGCCCAATCACTAGCATCACACATGATCTCAAAAGGTCTGTTCCAATCTGGGGCAACCACCACAGGTGCGGTAACCAAAGCCTTTTTCAAAGTTTTGAATGCATTTCTACATTCATCATTAAAATTGAATTTTTGTTCATGCTGGAGGAGTAAACAAAGTGGTTTTGAAATCTTTGAAAAGTCTTTGATAAACCTTCTATAAAATCCGGCATGACCCAAAAAGCTTCTGATTCCCTTAACTGTGGTTGGTTCAGGCAGTTTTTCTATTACGTCAAGCTTTGCCCTATCTACCTCAACCCCTCTTTTTGAAATCAAGTGTCCAAGAACAATCCCTTCTTTAACCATGAAATGACATTTTTCCCAATTGAGGACCAAGTCTGTTTCCTCACACCTCTCCAAACTCTTTTTCAAATTGTTTAAACAAATGTCAAATGATGAACCATGCACAGAAAAATCATCCATAAATATTTCAATGGATTGTTCAAGCATATCAGAAAAAATGGACATCATGCATCTTTGAAAAGTGGCTGGAGCATTACAAAGTCCAAATGGCATTCTTCTGAAAGCAAAGGTGCCGTAAGGACAAGTAAAGGTGGTTTTCTCTTGGTCTTCCGGAGAAATGGCTATTTGATTGTACCCTGAATATCCATCTAAGAAACAATAGAACTCCTTTCTGGCTAGCCTATCCAACATTTGGTCAATGAAAGGTAGTGGAAAATAGTCTTTTTGGGTAGCCTTGTTCAGTCTCCTATAGTCCATGCAGATTCTCCAACCGGAAACAACTCTAGTAGGGATAAGTTCATTTTTGTCATTCGTGATGACAGTGAACCCTCCCTTCTTAGGAACACATTGGACCGGACTCACCCAAGAACTACTGGCAATCGGAAAAATAATTCCGGCATCTAACCATTTTAAAATCTCCTTTTTGACTACCTCTTTCATGACAGGGTTTAGCCTTCGTTGGGGTTCTATGGAAGTGAACTTTCCATCTTCTAAGATGATCTTATGTTGACAAATAGAGGGACTAATCCCTTTCAAGTCAGCAATGGTCCATCCTAAGGCTTTCTTATGCAATTTCAATATGTCCACAAGTTTCTTTTCTTGATGCGGTTCTAGGGTAGATGAGATAATGACTGGCAATTTGCCTTCTTCTCCTAGAAAAGCATACTTTAGATGGGATGGGAGTTGTTTCAACTCCAACTCAGGTGGTGATTCTATGGACGGGGTGAAGTCTTTTTGCTCATTATTTTCAAGCAGCTCAAATGCTGCAGCATCCACTGGGACAATATCAGTTCCTACTTCCTCTATTTCTTCAGTACTTTCCTCTTCTAGTTCCTCATCATGTTCTCCTTTCAACTTAAGGTTCTTGTAAATTCCTTCTTCCAAACACATCTCCTCTATCTCGGATATTCTTGAACACTCTTCCAAGTAATCAGGGTACTTCAGAGAGTTGAAGACGTTAAATGTGACTTTCTGGTCTTGGAGTCTCATGGTCAGCTCTCCTTTTTAGACATCTATCAAAGTCCTTCCGGTGGCCAGAAATGGTCTTCCTAAAATAATAGGAATGTCCTTATCTGCCTCAAAGTCTAGAATGATAAAGTCTGCCGGAAATATGAACTTATCAACTTGTACTAACACATCCTCAATCTTTCCCTTAGGGTATGCAATGGACTTGTTGGCCAATTGGAGTGTGACGGTGGTAGGTCTAGCCTCACCTATGCCTAAGGTATTGAAAACGGATAAAGGCATAAGGTTGATACTAGCTCCTAAGTCACATAGGGCTTTCCCTATTTCCTTCCCTCCTATTGAACAAGGAATGGTAAAACTCCCTGGATCTTTCAGCTTAGGGGGTATTCTATTGGTCAAAAGTGCACTACATCCTTCAGTTAAGGCCACAGTCTCATACTCAGTCAACTTCTTCTTCTTGCTTAGGATGTCCTTCAGAAACTTAGCATAGCTAGGCATTTGCTCAATTGCCTCAACAAGTGGGATGTTGATGTGCAATTCTTTAAACACATCCAAGAATTTTTTTAAATTGCAGTTCCTCTTTCTGATTCCTCAACCTTTGGGGGTAAGGAACATACGGAGGTATTGGTTTTATTACATTCTTACTTGGATGAGTTGAGCAAGAAGGGTCTGTACTGCCTTGGGTCTTTGTGGTGCCCTTCGGAGGTTCAGATGAACTGTTAACATCAAGCTTAGGGGTCTCTAAAACCTCAGTTTCTTTTGATTTTCCTAGAACATCCTTAGGAAAGAGTAATGGAAAGTCTGATCTAAGGGGGATAGAAGTGGTGGTCTCTAAAGCCTGTTTTTCTAAGGGTAGGACCGGTCTTTCTTCGACAGGAACCAATGCAGTAGCATCAGTTTCTGTCAAAATTGGTGCACTATCCTTGGGTACTTTTTCTATCAACTCCTTCCCACTCCTTAAGGTCACTACTTTCACATGTTCTTTACCTAGATCTCTAGGGACTTCCGTATTACTGGGCAAGGTTCCATGAGCTCGGCTATTCTGGTTAAGCGCGAGTTGACTGACTTGAGTCTCTAAATTCCTGATGGCCACACTTTGTTGATTTATCAAAGCTTGATTTTGTGCTTGTGCTTGTGCAAAAAGTCCTTTAATCATAACTTCCAAAGAAGATGATTCTGACTGTGGAGGAGGTTTGTTCTGGAAAGGTGGCTGTGAGTGCTGAAAACCTTGTTGGTGATTCTGAGAGTTAGAACTATTTCCATGATGTTGCGGTTGGAAATTAGAAGTTCCCTGTTGTTTATGGACTGGTGGGTTTAGACCGGGACTGGTCCAAGAAAAGTTCGGGTGTTATCTCCAACTGGCATTGTATGAGTTAGAGTAGGGATTAGATCTGTTTTGAACATAATTTACTGATTCAGAATTATGCAAACAATGTTCATAAGAATGATCCCCACCACAGCACACACATTGCACAGATAGGACTGTTGGAACAGATGTGTTAGCAGCCTGCTGTACTCCCTGACCA